GGCCTGGTCGCACTGCAATCCCCCCTTCCCTCTGTCCTCCAGTCCTCCAGCTCACCAGCATCCTGGGCATGCACACATATGCCCAGTGTGTTTTGGGTTGACCTGGCCAAGAATTCGAGCCACAGTTGGCATGTGGCTTCCCGCTCTACAGTCTGGTACACTACTGACTCTGTGCCACAGAGGCTGGGACTATTTTTATCATTATTTTAAAGCTGATTTATTATTTATTTATTGAGAGAGAAAAATACCCCTGACAGGGTATCACCAGGCCACACCACCACCACCCTTACCACAACCTTCTAGCCATGCAGGATCACAAGCATGCCTGGTGATCAAATCAGCCTGGATCTGAACATGGGGCCTCCCATCTGGCTCCAGTGTTGTGTAGCAGTGCCCTAACATATGTACCACAGCTAAGCCCATGTTTTTACGTTAAAGTCCAGGGATTTATTAGAACATATCTGGTGTTGGTCATTCCAGGTCAATAATTTTAGGTTCAAGATGTACTTTTTCAATATATAGTTTCAATTCCTAACTTAGAAAGCTTGTCAATAGATTTTTTGCCATAGGACACATGTGCCTGCTGAAGAGACAGAGACAAAGAGAGAGGGAAAGTGAGAAATCAACCAACCCCTAGAGAGGACGGCCATGCCAATCTTTTCCCCTCCATTCTTCTCTCAAGATTTTGGGAGTGTACACACATGTGGCCGATGTGTTTTTCAAACCCCTGGGTCTGGGACTCAAAGCATGGAGTCGGCCATGTGGGATCCAGCACCTTATCCATCACATAACCTGCTGGTCCTAGAAAGTTTTTTTGAATATAGTTTTTGGTATTTGACATGCTGTCCCCTTGACTTTATTTTCTTTTCAGTTATTCCTATTATATGCTGGATCTTTCAATATTTGTCACTTTCTCTTGCATGCTTTTACTTTTTTCTTTCTTTTTAAAAATTTTCCAGAGAGCATGTACACTTGCTAGAGTTAGAGAGACAGAGAGAAAGTGAAAAAGCACCCCCAATAGACCATGGTCATTCCGCAATCCCTTCTCCTACATTTTTCCATCCTGTTAGGATTTTGAGCACATACACACACATGCCTGGTGCATTTTTCAAGCTGCAAGGTCCAGGACTCAAATCACATGGTCAGCCATGTGGGATCCAGCTGCCTGATCCACCAGGCTGTGGTCTGTACCTCTTTTTGTTTATTTATTTTCAGTTTGAAAGCTTTTTTTGGACTGGACTGGCCCATGGCCTGGTGGTTAAGGGAACTGGATCCCACATGGCCAGCTATGCAGTTTAAATCATGGACTCAGTGGTTTGAAAAATGTACCAGGCAAATGTGCATGTGTGCCCCAAATCTCAACAGGATGGAGAAGTGGAGGAGATGAGATTATGGTGTGACCATGCCACATTAGGGGGTGCTTTCCCCCTCTTTCTTTCTGTGTCTCTCTTTGGTGAGCACACATACTCTGGCAGAACAACACCGAATTAAACAAAACAAAAAAACTTTTTTCAGCCATTTTCTATTTATTTCTATTTTTCAGAGAGATTTTTGCTGTAGGGTGCATGCACTTGCCAGAGAGACAGAAAGATAAAGACAGAAAGCGAGAAATCACCCCCTGGGGGGATGGCCAAGCCTCAATCCCCTCTCCATTCTTTTCTTGGGATCTTAGGTATGCACACATATGTGCCTGGTGTGAGTTTTAAGCTGCCAGGTCCAGGTCTCTCATCCATGGGCATCCAGCAATGTAACCATTGGGCCATTTGCTGGTCCTGGGTCATTTTCTATTCTTTTTTTTTTAACTTTGATATTCAGGATTTTTTAATAATTATTTTATATAACTTTACTTATTTATTTATTTTAATTTTACTAGAGAGGGACAGAGAGAAAGGGAAAGTGAGAAAGCAAGCCATCAGGTCTGGGACTTGAACTGCAGTCGGCCATGTGGGAATCCACTGCCCTTAACCACCATGCCACCTGTTGGCCCCATTGTCTATTCTTTTTTGTTTTTTAAAGATTTTATTTAATAATACATTTTTTTTTTTTAAATTTGAATTTGACCAAATAGGGAGAGAGAGAGAGAAAGTGAGAAAGCAAGCCACCAGGTTCAGGACTCAAACTGTAGTTGGCCATGTGGGAATCCAGCACCTTTAGCCACCTCACCATCTGCCAGCCCCCTCATTGTCTATTCTTATAAAGCAATATCAAAGTATTTATTTTCTCTCTCTTTTTTAAAGAATTATTTATTTAATTTATTATTATTATTTTAAAAATTTTGGGCATGTGTACTCATCAGAGAGAGACAGGGAGAAAGAGAGAGAAAGTGAAAAAGCAAGCTACCAGGTCTGGTTTCAAACTATGGTTTGAATGCCCCAACCACCATACTACCTGCTGGCCCCAATATTTATTCTTTTATTCTGTCTTATTTTCTTATTTAGTTTCATTTCTGAAATAAATGTTTTAATTATCCTTTTTTTGATTTATCTAATTATCACATTTAAGAATCTTTATTGCCAGAGCTGGCAGGTGGTGTGGTGGTTAAGGTGCTGGACTCCTACATGACTGAGTTTGAATCCCAGATCTGGTGGCTTACATTCTTACTTTCCCCCTTTTCCTCTCTCTGGTCAAATTTAAATAAATAAATAAATAAATAAAGACAAAATAAAGACTTTAAAAAGTTTTTGTTGCTGAGACTGCTCCAACTACTTTAGAGGTCATCTGAAACAACTTGTACTCATCCCCTATACTGGAGCTGGCAAAACCTTCCCACTTCAGTTGCTATGCTCAGTTTGGTCCACAATGCCCCATTAGATGCCTTATGTCTTCTCTATACTCTCTCCTGCATAAATATGAATATTCTGCACATCTTATATAGCGTTGGTCGTAGTTGTCATCATGGTCTTACACTTTGGTGTTCATGGATACCTTGTCATCTGGCTCTGTTGAAGATGTTACCCATAGTTTTCTGGTTTTACCAAAAGCAGGGTGATTCAAAAACTACACCACTGCTGTGTCTGTCCAGAATTGTGGAGAGAAAAAGAGCCAGGAGAGCTCAGGAAGCAAATTATTGTATGTGCTCCTGTTGCCAGGCCAAAACCATGGGCCACGTACCTGCCACAGTTAGGAGTGAATAGGAGAAGGTGGTTACCAGGAAGCAAGCTATCATATTTTCAGATTCTTTACCAAAGAAGGCAAAAAACAGTAGATTCAATATGGCACTTCATATAAGGTTTCATCTGATGGATTCCACTACTAAATAAGAAAAGTATCAAAACACTCATGGAAGGTAGTATAATGATATGACTTGTCTTTTAAAACTCCAACTTTTAGGGACTAGCAGTTGGCATAATGGCTATGTTGCTGGACTCCTATGTAGGTGACCGCAGTTTGAGTCCTGGACCCAGTGGCTTAAACTCACGCTGGGCACGTGTGTGTACATGCCCAAGATCCCAAGAGGAGAGTGGAGAAGGGATTGCGTCATGGCCATCCCCCGTGGGGGGTGATTTCTTGCTTTCTGTTTCTCTCTTGTCTCTCTTGCGAGTGCACGCGTCCTATAGCAAAAACCTCTCAAATAAATAAATAAATAAATAAACCAACAACAACAACAAAAAAAACCCAAAAAACCTCCAACTTTTAAAAGTTAATTTTTAATTATGTGAATAATTTACAAACACCTTCCTTTGTAAGAGATAAACACAGAGGTAAGGCTAAAGTCCCCTTTTTAAAAATACAGGTCTTCTGGCTAGTTTTTGATGCATGGCTGACTTTGTCATCTTTAATAGACTCTGGGCCATGATCTTCAGCTCTGCCGAAATGGCATTTAAGGTCATTTTAACATTAACCAGTGTTAAGTTCGACTATGAACATGAATCCATTAATAGCACCTCTGAAGGATTATTTATGTTATTCTCCGTTTGTACAAAACGTAAAAACTTGAGAATGGGTGAGAAGTTTTGGGTCATCTGAAACAACTTGTACTCATCCCCTATACTGGAGCTGGCAAAACCTTCCCACTTCAGTTGCTATGCTCAGTTTGGTCCACAATGCCCCATTAGATGCCTTATGTCTTCTCTATACTCTCTCCTGCATAAATATGAATATTCTGCACATCTTATATAGCGTTGGTCGTAGTTGTCATCATGGTCTTACACTTTGGTGTTCATGGATACCTTGTCATCTGGCTCTGTTGAAGATGTTACCCATAGTTTTCTGGTTTTACCAAAAGCAGGGTGATTCAAAAACTACACCACTGCTGTGTCTGTCCAGAATTGTGGAGAGAAAAAGAGCCAGGAGAGCTCAGGAAGCAAATTATTGTATGTGCTCCTGTTGCCAGGCCAAAACCATGGGCCACGTACCTGCCACAGTTAGGAGTGAATAGGAGAAGGTGGTTACCAGGAAGCAAGCTATCATATTTTCAGATTCTTTACCAAAGAAGGCAAAAAACAGTAGATTCAATATGGCACTTCATATAAGGTTTCATCTGATGGATTCCACTACTAAATAAGAAAAGTATCAAAACACTCATGGAAGGTAGTATAATGATATGACTTGTCTTTTAAAACTCCAACTTTTAGGGACTAGCAGTTGGCATAATGGCTATGTTGCTGGACTCCTATGTAGGTGACCGCAGTTTGAGTCCTGGACCCAGTGGCTTAAACTCACGCTGGGCACGTGTGTGTACATGCCCAAGATCCCAAGAGGAGAGTGGAGAAGGGATTGCGTCATGGCCATCCCCCGTGGGGGGTGATTTCTTGCTTTCTGTTTCTCTCTTGTCTCTCTTGCGAGTGCACGCGTCCTATAGCAAAAACCTCTCAAATAAATAAATAAATAAATAAACCAACAACAACAACAAAAAAAACCCAAAAAACCTCCAACTTTTAAAAGTTAATTTTTAATTATGTGAATAATTTACAAACACCTTCCTTTGTAAGAGATAAACACAGAGGTAAGGCTAAAGTCCCCTTTTTAAAAATACAGGTCTTCTGGCTAGTTTTTGATGCATGGCTGACTTTGTCATCTTTAATAGACTCTGGGCCATGATCTTCAGCTCTGCCGAAATGGCATTTAAGGTCATTTTAACATTAACCAGTGTTAAGTTCGACTATGAACATGAATCCATTAATAGCACCTCTGAAGGATTATTTATGTTATTCTCCGTTTGTACAAAACGTAAAAACTTGAGAATGGGTGAGAAGTTTTGAACCATGTTCCTGGCTCTATTTTTTAGCATGGTGAGGGCTTTGAGTCATGTTCTTGTTTTCATCATTTGTTCCATCAGAGCATTGGTAACTAATGGGCTTTTTGGCTCAGCTTTTACTAGGCATGTAGAAATTGTTTTGATTAAGATTCATTATGATTCAAGTGGCAGAAAACCCTCTCATGTTGGTTTTAAATAAAGTATGTATTGGCTCATGGAATCAAATCATGTGGAGGTATTCAACACTTCAGGATTGGTTGGATTCGAAGACCAAATCAGGTGATGGTGATACTGCCCTGCCCAACCCCAGGGGACCTCATTTACGCTGCATGGCATGAGCCCAACACTATGTACTCTCGATAATGCCCCCTGATGTTGTGTGCTGACCCTTGGTACACACCCTAGTCCCGTTCTTTGTTCTGCTTTCTCTAAGTATGGACTTGCCATCAGGTAGCCTTTTCTCAGAGCAGTAAAAGGGCTAGCAACTCCTTGCCAAGCTTCTTCCTGTCTCCAAAACCAGGAGAGAACAGAAGACTTCTTTCTTCCAGAAGTCTCAGAAAAAGTCCTGTCATGACTCACGGATTCAGATTAGGTCACAGCCCCAAACTCAGTGATCATGGAGGTCAGGGGAAGGCTGGTGGCTTGGCTGGTACCTGGCCAAGGGCTTTATTACTGTAGTTAGCTGTAGAGGAAGCAGCTTCTTGAATGGTGAAGGAGAAAGGACAGAATCCAGCGTAGTTAACGAAAGGGGCTCTGACACATGATTGCTCAGCATAGCTTAGACAGCTTTCCCTCTTTGTAATTTTTTTTTTTTGGTAAGATTTTTGCCATAGGGCATGTGTGCTCCCTGGAGAGAGAGACAGAGACAGAGAGAGAAAAACTAAAATATCCCCTGTTTCCCCTACCCTAGGGGAATGGCCATGTTTCAATACCTTCTCCATTCTCCTCTCAGGATTTTGGGCACACGCAAATGTGCCTAGTGTGATTTTCAAGCCTCTGGGTCCAGGACTCAATCCATAGTCAGCCATAAGTCAGAGCCTTAACCACCATGCCTGATAGCTCCTGCCTTAAGACACAGTATATCATAGTGATCCAGAGTGTGGACTATGGAGCCAAGCCACCTTGGTTCTCTTCCGTTTAAGGATGTGTGACCTTTGGTAAGTTACCAACCTTTCTGTGTCTCAGCTCCCTCAACTGAAAAATAGGGGATAATAGCTTCTCCTTCATAAGATCATAGTGACCTGCTATTGATTCAATAGGTACGGAACACTCAGAATATCGGCTAGCATGAGACAAGGTCTAGGTAAGATCTTTGCCATGACTGAGATTTAGTGATCGTTAGGAGGGTTAATCAATACACCAACTGTTCAACAAAGGTAGAGCTCTTTGGCCCAAGGTTGAGACACAGTTGACTGAGTCTGCAATGCAGAGCTTCTAGGCTCCATTCATTTGCATATGCTGGGATCTGTTTGCTTTTGAATCTGGTCCAGAGGTGAGCACTAGCTGTTGGATGCCTTTAAGGATAACCCACTTGTGAGGTTTGATTCACAAATGTTCTATAATAGAACTTCAGATCTGATTCACAGTTTTGTTGCCAGCCTGTGCAGTAGCAACTGCTTTGATTGTGACGCAACATACTGATGTATAAACCATTTATAGCTCTTCTCTCCACTAAACACAGTCAAAATGACTCAGGTTGCAACTGGAGAGGAAACTGGGGATCACAATTGAACTTTATAATGAAATGCAAACTCTCCTTTGAATAGTACTTTCTTCACAGATCGTAGGTCTTAAACATGGTAGTTAAAAGAGGCCTAAAAAAACAAAACAAAACAAAAAAAAACAAGAGAAACTTGTGTTCCAGTTCTTCTTTTCGAACCCGAATATTGAATTCTCTGTGACCATGTCCTGGCCTGGCTCTTATTTCTTTAACACCCTCCTCCCATCCCTTTGTTAGTAACAATCTCAGATCCTGGCAGCAAATGGCATGTGAAGCTGAGCACATTTTTATTCTACACAGACAGGGTTATATAAATCTTCCTAACTTAAAGCAATTTCTTTTGCCCTTTCTTTCTTTTGTGTGCCTTTTGGAGTCTGCTTGGATTCCTAATGGGCTATATCCCTGGATGACTTTTTTTTTGTTTTAAGCAAAACACAGGATACCAATGTCTTTTATCTAGATATTTGAATATTTGCTGGGAACCTACTATGTGGCAGTCACCTTACCAGGCCCTGAAGTAATCAGAGAACATCTTTATATCCTTTTTAGCAAGTTCTTTGTCTAAAACCATTCTATTTTTGCTACATCCCCTTTTGTTTTCTATTTTGTAGAAAAGGCATTGGGTAAGCTAAAGGACCTAGAGCCTATATAGTTATTTCCTGTTTTGGAAAGTTAAGACCAGCCATCAGGTTCCCCCAGAATGTGTCAGGTTATGTTACATTTTCTTATTTTCCAACATCCATCTTCCTCTTCTTCATCTTACTAATGTCTTCTCATTTTTCTAATGTAAGACCAACATCATGACTCCACTGTGAAACTTCCCTGAATCCTTCTAATTCAGGTATTCCTCCCTGGTTCTCTACTATTTTCTGGAGAAAACATTGCAAATGGACTGTGATCACTAACTTACCCCTCTGTCTTCCCCGCTAGAGCAGAAGCCAGGAAGGAACCATGTCTAACAGGACTTACTGTCCTCAGTGTCTACTAGATAATTACCAAATGAATGACTGAATGAATGAATATGTAGTGTACTGAATTCCTACCATGTGCCACTTACTGTACTAGGCTTGGGGAGACACAAAGACCTTATCCCTTTGAAGATGATGATGTTTTTTATATTGATTTTTTCCCCCACATTTTATTGATTCACAAAATACCTTAAGCTAAAACTATGGGCAAAGGTAGAATCTAGTTACAAGTGCATTGTAATTTTCTTCTGAAACATTTTTAATTAATTAATTAATTTACATTCATTCCCTGAGCATTGTCACAGCATACAAAATGTGATTTCCCCACCCTCCTCCCACACTATCTTAGGTGTCTACAGTTGTTTTCCATCCTTCCCCCCCCCCCACATTTTATTGATTCAAAGTTTTTTAAGTAATCTAACTACTTTCAATAGCAAGTTTAGCTGGTATGTATATATCAGTGAATACATGTCTGACTTTAGGTGAGAAACTCTGAGTAGGATGAATATACTATAAGGTAAAACCTAGCTGATGCTATAAATCTTACTATGATCATTAAAAGGTATTTTTAAATATATTTTTAATTTCAAGGAAAGCAGTTTTTAGCTTTACTAAATCAAAGATATACTAAGGAAATTTACTTAAAGCTTAAATCCAGGAAACAGGCTAAGGTTCTATTCAAATAGGAGGTACATGAACCTACCGGCAGCTCAAAACAGGACAAAAATCCTTAAAACTGGAAAACAAAGCCTAGAAGAAAATCAGCAATGTTTTCGTCAAAAGTCATAAAATGCTATTTCACCAGTTCAGTCTCATGTACTTAATCTATCTTCTGTTGTGATTCTATCTTCCCGATTACATTCTGGGATATAATATTCAACTCCAGACATGTCTCTATGATTAAATTGGCCATTTTCTTAGTTTTTTAACTCTTATTTCTGTGTGTCTGTATTTAATTTTCCTGACATAGCACTTACTTGAGAACTTCTTGGAGATCTGGTCTGGTGTTGGTAAATTCTTTCAGGTTTTGTTTATCTGAGAATGTTCTTGTCTCTTCTTCCCGTATTAAGGATAATCTTGCGGGATACAGTATCCTTGGTTGAAATTGCTTTTCCCTTAACAATTTGAATATATTTTCCCGTTCTTTCCTTGCTCACATTGTTTCTGATGCGAGGTCCGCTGTTAGCCTGATGGGAGATCCTTTGTACGTAACTTGCCATTTCTCTCTTGCCAATCTTAGTATCTTGTCTTTGTCTGTGGTTTTGATCAATTTGGCTATAATGTGTCTTAGAGAAGATCTTCTTGGGTTGATTCTGTTTGGGGTCCTTTGTATTTCTTGGGACTGGATCTTTGAGTGCCTCTCTAGGTTTGGAAAGTTTTCTTCCAGGGTTTCATGGAATAGATTATCAATGCTCTTATGAGTCTCTTTGCCTTCTGGGATATCTATTATCTGGATGTTTGGATGTTTGATGGCATTTAGTATTTATCATATATTATTCTCATTTTGGGGGGCCATTTTCTCAGTCTTCATGGTGGATTTTTCTAGGCCAGTGATTCTATCTTCTACATCTGAGATTCGATTTTCTGTATGATCTAATCTGCTTTGAATACTTTCAAGGGAGATTTTGACTTCCTGTATTATAGCCTTCATCTCTAACAGGTCCATTTTATCCTTTTTTAGAGTGTGTATTTCGTCTTTTAGATCTTGCAAGAACTTCCTCACCTCCCAGAACTTGTCAGCTCTTTTCTCCTCCCTCTTCTGCAGTTCATTGTCTCTTTTCTCTTCCATCTCTGTTAGCTTTGTCATTATGAATATTCTAAAATCCTTATCAGACATTTCCAGGAGTTTCCTTGTACTGTCTAGGGACAAAGAGGTGTTATTATTTTCCCTTGGAGGAGAGGTATTGTCTTGCTTTCCCATATTTCTTGTGAACCTGTGATAATTTCTACTCATCTGATGGATGGTGCATTTCTTCCTGATTCTTGAAGTTCAATCTGAGTGTTCAGAGGTGAGCAGTAGGAGATTGAAGATGATAATCTAATGGAAAGATTATCAACCCTAGGTTGATAATCACACATATCACTATGCAATCTTGAACTGATTAGTGATTTGAAGGAAAACAAAAGAATGTTAGAAGACTATGTGATAGTCTCAGAGATTGGATATGCAGACTTTCACCTGGGGTAAAGGGAGCAGAATATCTGAAAGTACTTTCTTCTTTTTTTAAAAAAAAAATCTAATTTGGGACCAGCAGTTAGAGTAATGGCTATGTTGCTGGACTCCCATGTAGTCGACTGCAGT